TTAATTTATGTAAATAAAATTTATCTAACAAAAATAACATATATAACACAAAATATAAAAGATGAATTTAATTGATAAGTAAATAACATTTGATCTAAAATTTGAATAATATTTGATTTATTACAGTTGAATACAATAAAATCACAATAAAATGAACAAAAACAAAGTGTTTTTTTAAGCTCTCAGATCTTATAACAAAAGTTTATAAGGCTAAAAGCATAACTTTACTATCAGAATTTTCTTCATCGAGCTTTTCTATCTGTCATCACTCATTTTATCCGGACGATGACACGTGGCGGTTTTCAATTATAATATAATAATATAATAAATATGTGGGCATGTGTATAATATATAGTATGTATATAGTATATAGTTGGCATATTAGATATATCATATACCATATAGTGTATTGCTAGGTGATTGCATATTAAATAATAATTAGCATGTTATACAATACATATTAAATAATAGTTGCATTGCATATCATATAGTTTCATATCAAATAATTGTATATTATAAATAATATTGCATATTATATTAGATATTAAGTAATTAATATATTACATAGTTTATATTATATAGTTAGTAAATACTATATAGTTTGCATGTTAGAATAAATAGTCCATATAGTATAGCCCATTTTAAATAATAAAAAACCAAAAATAGTCCATTTCATTAGATAATAGTCCATTTACATAGTTTTTCCAAATGCCTAAATAATTAGCCCACATTGTTACAAATATATGCATAAACAAATAAATAAATAATTCATCCTTAATTGCCATTTTGGATGTTTTTTTTGGGGGATTTTGTTGCTTTTAAAAGTAAAAAATAAGCATTTATGGTGGTGTGACTTTTTAAGTGATGACATCACCAATCTTTGTGAAAAAACATAAACTAATTTCCATCCTTGATTAGCCTTCATCCAATGGTCACTATTGCTTCAATCCATGTGAAAGAAAAAAATCATGTGACCCTTGGATGAGAAGCTAGATCTAATGGCTCCCATTAAGCCACATCATGCATCCAAGTGAAAAGGCAAGAATTAATATTAACCATTGGATCAAGATTGGATCCAATGGCTAAGATTTCATCATCCAAAGGAGGTGCACTCACCACCAGCACGTCCCAACCGGCTAGAGATCTCGCCGGCGCATGTATTTCGATCATCTTCCTCATCGAGTCGTCGTCGCATCACCTCCGCACTGCTGTCGTTTCGTCTCTTTCGTCGATCATGTTTCGAGCATTCAAAAAGTCAACTATATATTTTGGGTGTATAGGATTTTGAGAGAATCAGAGTTTATACAGAGAAATCAAAATGAGAAAAGAATAAAAAATTTGAAGTTAGATAATATTGGGCTTATATATTAGTTTAAATTCAGGCCGGTTGGCCCGAGCGTTTTTTAAGTTTAGTCAGCATTGTAGTGTCGTCCTCTTGTTTTGAATTCGCTCAATTTAGTCCAAATGTATAACACAATTTATTGAATTTAAGTTTTATATTATAAATTCTTCCAATTTAATCCCTATATATTTTTCAATTCTTTCAATTAATATTATATGTATATATACATTTATGTATTTAACTATATAGTATTCATACATATAATACACTTTGAATTATATATATAAATTACATAAATATAAACTATATTATATAGTATATAAATATAAACGTATATACTATATAAATAGTTTATAATTCATTAATAAACAATATATATAGTTCATATGTAAACTATAGTATATATAGTTTATATATGTAGTATATATATAAATAGTTTATTCATTAATATATTCAACTATATATTATTCATACATATAATATATACTTTGAATTTATATAGTATAAATTATAGAAATATCAACTATAGTGTTAGTTTATATATAAACTATAGTTTATATATAGTTGATATGTAAACTATATAGTATATAGTGTTTATATATATATAATAGTTCATGTAATAATGTAAACTATATATTATATAGTATATAAATATCAACTATAGTATATAGTTTATATATAAATTATAGTTTATATATATATATAATTTTTTATATATAGTTCATATAGTTTACCTATAGTTTATATTAATAAATTATATAATTTATACATAGTATATATAATTTATAATTATACATAATATATAAATATAAAATGTATAGTTTTATATAGTTGATATATATTTATATATAAACTATAATAAACTATATAGTTTATATATAATATATATATATTGATATATTTATATATATAAATATAAACTGTATAGTTTATATATATATATATATATATATATATATATATATATATATATATATATATATATATATATATATATATTGTTTCAAATTTTTCTTAACTTTTGAAATGAATGCAATTTAGTTTATTTTTCATATTTTTTTTTCATATTTTACAATTACTTCGATTTGATCCGATTGTGTTGTTTAATTTATTTAAATTTTTATTTATAATTTCATATTTGTTTAATTTAGTCCTTAAAATTATATTTACATATAAATTGGCCCATACTTGTTATTTATATTTTTTAATTGGACCATAACTTTTAAATGGGTATAATTTAGTATATTTTTATATTAATTTCAACCTCACATTTTAAAATTATTTCAATTTGGTCCCTCATCAATGCGTGTTGTTTAATTTATTTAAATTTTTACTTGTAATTTAATATTTTTTCAATTTAATCCTTAAAAATATATTTTTATCAAAATTAATCCATAATTATTTATATCTTTAGTAATTTACTCTAAATCATATACAATTACAAATTGCAATTCAACTTTCACGAAAGGCGAAAAATAATTAATCCAAAAATAAAAAAATGATCCGACCTAAAGTCAATTCATATCCGGTAAAGATCCGACCTGAATTTTATCTGTCAATGATGTGACCCGATCTGAACGAGATTTGACTGAATTCTATCCGAACATGAATTAACATGGTGTTTAACTGCTTCACACCTGAAACGTTTTGACCTGAATTGACATCAATCCGAATTGAAATTAACTCGACCTGAATCTGATGTCATATCAACCTAAAAACGACCCGAACTGATTTGACATGACTTGATCTGAGTTGAACTATCAAAATGACATGACATGACCTGTATCCGATTTTACATGACCTGACAGAATCCGATTGAAACCTGAATGATTACTTGACCTGATCCTATTGAAGGTGAACTACATCCGAATGAGCGAAATGAGTATACCAATTAGCACGCAAAATACACCTATCCAAACGTTGTGAGAAAGTTTCACGCTTCTAGGTGAATTCGGCCCAAAAAACCCATATTAAGTTAACATGTCTCAAACATGAAATCATCAAATTTGGGACAAACATTAGTACGTCGATGAGATCCACCTTGTCTTTTTGAATATTTCCGAATGATATTAAAGTCCCTCCTAGAACCCACGACCATCTACAATCAGTTTGCAGCTCATTTAGTTGATTCCACAGAAGACTTCCGGTACCCCCATCAGGACATATCATGGATATACTACAATTCTCGCTCAAAATAGTGCACATATCATGGATATACTGTCTAGAAACAGCAAGCACAACAAATTAACTGATTCCTTCCAAAGAACCCAGATTCCACTAGAGAAATTCGTCGCCTCAACTCTGTACGAATATTTAAAGCCAAACTTTTCAATAAAATTACAACTGCCAAATCGCTAATTGTGGTTCCATCACCGCAACAATATGTAAATTCTCAATAATAGCTTGAAGTATATGTTAAAATCAGGGTCCTGAGCACCCTGCACATTCCCAAAAAATACTCTAATCATGGAGAGAATAAAAAACAAAGAAGCAAGGTTAAACCTGCTTATTATTATCATCCATCTGTGCGAACATGGAGTTCGCTCTCCATTGGACAGATTCACTAATTTCTTTCATGGAAGCTTGTACTTCTTCAATCGATTTCTCAACAGTGGCAGCGACTTTGTTTAACTCTGAAGCCATAGCCGACACCCATTCAACCAACACAGGTTTATTGGGTATTTTTTCATCCTTTTTCTTGGTTTTTAGACCCTTCCTCGTCATGCTCTTCACTGCCGCTAATCTTTTGGTGAGTTTAGAGTTAGTAGCACATGAAGTTCGTTGAATTATATTATGGTCCTGGGGTCGTAAGTTCTCATCGTTATCAACCACCTGAATTTCAACATGTTTATACTTTTTGAGCGAAGAATCAACTTGTGTAATCCTCCCTTGTACAACCACTTCAGTATTGTTAACTGTGTTGTGGTTTAATCGAAACACTTCTATTTGCCACAGTATAGTCTTTGGTAGGTCCTCTATTCATCCCGTGTTTACTCGATTCACCCATAAATATTGTCTTAACATTCAAGCTGTCAGTAACTGCTACCTTTTCACTTGTATTAGTTTCCACCAAAATGGGGTTTTTAGCCTTGTTGACATCCAAGGAATCGCCATCAGTACAGCAGAATGGGCTATAGCTTTAGTCCTATAGCAGCGTTTTAAGCATCGCAAAAAACCTTCCAGACATATAAAGAAGCGCCACAAGAAACGCCGTTAAAACTAACGTTGCAAACATGGCGGCGTTTGTAAATAAAAAGCGTTGCAATAGGTTCAGGCATTAGCAGTGTTTTTTTACAAACACCTCAATAGGTTCATACATTTAGCAACACTTCTCTTACAATCGCCGCAATAGGTTCATACATTTAGCGGCGTTTTTCTTACACACACCGCAATAGGTTTAGATATTTAACGGCGTGTTTCTTATAAACGCCGCAATAGGTTCAGATAATTAGCGATGTTTCTCTTATAAACGCCGCAATAGGTAGGTAATTTAGTTGCAGTCCATTAGTGCGTTTTTTATCTTAAAATGCCACAAATGAAACCAGCTTTGCAAATGTTATTTTCTGCAATACAATTGTACCATTAATTTATACATTAATATGTTACGGGATCAATTATTCCAAACTCTATTTTTAGTTATCAGAATGCGAATAATCACATTCAAAAGCTGATACATGATGATTACAAGTAATTGCAAATGAGTTAACATCTCAAATGATGATATTCACCAAAAGTTAATACATGTAGAGTTAGAGACTGCCAATATTAGTTATACTTAAACACATGAATAGAATACTAGCGGAAACTGAGAAACAACAGGTGAAAACTAAAAAGTACTTGTTGGGCTTCTGTTTCTGGTATCTGCTTGCATTTGAAAATGTTCAGGTAGAACCGGGGGCCAAGTGATGATGCAAGCCGCAAGAATAAACAATAAGGAAGTTGCACAGAACAGCTATCTGAAAGAAGTAAATAGCAAGAGTTAACCATGTTAAGAGACATAGTGCAAGGCCCATTTTTCTTGTATTTACCTTGTCCAAGAAAAACGAAGTAAATAGGTGAAAGAAGGCTCCCAAGCGCAGGAATACTGCTCCTAAGGATCATATATTTTTGCCATTGACATATCTACACAAGACAATGATACGGTGTTTAAACCTTGACACTAGCCTTGGTGAAATTAAATCATAAAAGGAATGCATCTTACCCTGATTGGTCCCCAACACTTTCAATGGTACCCCTTGGAACTCGGGTCATAGCAGCCATTTCAGCATAAAATTTAGTTTCCAGGCCATGCACCAAGGTTACAAAAGATTTCGTTATAACTGCTGAAATTCGTCCTGTAAAATTGCAAGACCTTGTAGAATTCAACAAAATAATTGCTGAAAAATGAACACTCGAAAATCATTTATGAAAAGTTTTCCAAGTTTTAACTAGAGTCCGTACAGAAATCATTTTTTATGATAAAAGATAATCTGCATCGGTGCCCCTCTTTACTATTTAAATCATCCCAGACCAACTATTATTCAATCAACTGAAAATTTTACAAATTATTAAACAAAATTCAACAATAATTTCTATTAAAACAGCAAAGAAATTTCCCGGTTCACTTAGGAGACTTTGCGTTTCCTGTTAAGATCAAAAATGAAGAAACCATAATTGAAGCACGAAAAATAAGCAAAATTCTCACAAAGGAAAATAAAAATGAAACAAATTATTTCTTCAGTGTCAGAAAATGATCTTGTAACAATTAGCAGAGGACTTTGATTCATCAAAGCCTTAAAAACTTCAGTCACCATACAAATATCTAGAAACACGGAAAATTGAAAACAAAAACGAAGAATTGAGGATTCCCAGGGAAAAGACAAATTGGAGAAATAAAAAAGGATCGGATGAAAGATCGAAGCAGTAACCTTGATGATTCTTCGGAAAAAGATTACTGTTGCACAAATTGGTGCTAAAATCAACGGCAAAACAGTTACAAAGAGGAATTAAATCTTAAGACAGAAGGAAAGAGAGAAGAGAGAATAAGGGAAAAACTTATATCCGATTGTTGGCAGCTGACGACTGGAAGACTGCGACGGCGGCTGCTGGCTGTGCTGAGTTAGGGTTAGAGCACTTGAAACAATTGAGAGAGGCAGAGAGCTGACTGATGGACACACAATTATACGCCGCTATAAATCGTCCATCAAGCTCCGTTGGTTGAGCGCAATGTTTTTAACTTTGTGGTTATGAAATCGAGTTTCATTGAAGATAATTCATAACAGAGGTCTTCCACAGAAGTTACTATCAACCTGGCGTTGGGGATAACCTACTACCTACATCCCCTTACCCCAATACATATGGGAATAGGGTCAGCTAAATTTTTTAAATGATACGCCACTAATAATTTAAACTATTGCGGTGTTTTAAAAAAAAACTAAAAAAGTACTAAACTATTGTGATGTTTCTAAAAAAATGCCACCTTTAATAGTCTATTGCGGCGTTTTTAAACAAAATGTCACTATAGTACCAAAATATTATCATGTTTTTCCAAAAATGTCAAATGTCATTGTATATCGGTCTATCGCGACGTATGTCTAAAAACGCTACTATATGTAAATAAATTAGTGGTGTTTGCTTTAAAAACACCACTAAAACCGCCGCCACAAACCTATTTTACTGTAGTGCATCCTGGACTTCCTGTAGAATCCAAAGAGTGAACCAATCCTGGAATTCTTGCATCCAAGGCCCGTACAACTCCTCTGATTTATCATTTTTCTAGATTGTCTTTGTGTTAGCTTTATTAATCAACCGAATAACGCCAAGGTGGGGGTGAATTGGCCTTTTTAAGAATTTTGTGGAAGCAATAAAAAAATAAACTTTTGCACACGATTTAAAGTGGTTCAACTTTCTCAAACAAGGTCTATATCCACTACCTTTAAGGACAAGTTGTAACCTTACAAATACTTCAAGGTTTATACCTGGTAACTCCGTAAAATGGCTACTTTTAAGGCCTTTTTCACTTAGTTATTATTTGTTTAAGGGTTCATTTAGGTCATTTTAGATGCATGTAGCTGCATATAATTACATTTGTGGTGGTTGTGTTTTTTTTTTCTTTTGTTAAGGTGTTGTATGAGGAGGAATGTGTAGTTTTTCGTGATGTGAAGAAAATAACAAGCAAAGGGCGAGCTGGGAAAGAATGTCGTGGCATAACACGTTGATTCCACAGAATGAAATGCCTTGGCATTTCTGGTGCAGAAAAGGACAAAAATATTTTTATAAAAGGACAGCTGGCAAGACACGTGTATGATGGTTGCAACCACCTGCTGAGGACCACTACCACCTGTGGAGATAGATCTCACACATAAGGAGTGACTCTAGGGGTATGATGGGTATTTTGAATACAAAAACCCAAGAATACCCTTAGATATTTTTATTATTTAAAGACACCACATATGAGAGAGAGAAAGAGGTTACACACCAACTGGAGATATCCATTTTCTTTATCTTCTCCACCGTTTTCTTCCTTCTATTTTTAGTGGTGTTCCTCCATTAACGAGATTTAAGGAGTGGCAAGCTAGGCATCCGAGATGAGCTAGCGAGCTAAAGCAGTTCATGGTGGACGAAGAGAGCTCCTACAGTGCACATCGAAGAGGTTTTCCTCTTTCCCCTTTGCTGTTATTTCTCATTTGATTTGGGTTGCAAGGAACAAATGGATTTTATGATTTATTTCATGGATTATTCGAACCCCACCACGAACTAGCTTTATTTGGAGGAGTTCACTAATGGATGTTTAAGTTCTTTCTTTAATGGATGATTGTTCTTTTTCTATAATCTTATTTGTTTTGTTTATGGTGCTTAATGACCTAAGGTTATAGGAGCTATGAGAGTAAACATTCCTTAGGAAAATACTTAGTGTTCGAGAGAAACTAAGGAGCTTATCTTAGTGTTTGAGAGAAACTAAGGAGGATCAACATAAGTAATGGGTTTTAGATAGTAACTAAGCCTAATCCCCCTTTAAACATAAGGATAGGATTTCAATAAACTAAAGGAGTAGTGCTCAGTCAAGAGGGTAGATGATAGAGTGAATACTGAATGGTATTGACGTGACATATTATGTTGCACTGATGGGATCCCTGCACCTGCTAACGCCAATAGGTATTGCCATGACATTCTCAACCTGTCGAGTCCCTTGACTAGAGATAGCATAGGGTACCTTTAGTAAACTCTGCCGGGCAAGTAAAACATAGAAGTGAGATCATCCTGAAAAGTTAAACTTAAGTTTCCCAAGTGACTCATATCATTCATTCCTATAGTAGCTTAATGTGCGAGGATTATCAATGCATTTTAGTCAAATGCAGTGTTTACCTTTTGTTTTGCTTTTATATTTTCACATTATTTTACCACACACACTTTATTTTGCCACGACATTTCCATATATTTTTCCACTACATCTGCATTTGCTTCCACATCACACTATCATTCTATCCCCACCAACATACGTTTCATTTTGTCTCGGCATCTTTCATTGGTACATACCATCACACTGACTATACTTAGATTAAGTAGTTCTTTTATTTGGTTAAACTCGTAAATTTCCACAAATCCCTGTGGAGATGACACTCACTCATCATTATATTACTTGTTCGATTATGTATACTTGCACATATTTCGCGTCCATAATTAGTACTCATAAAGCACGAACAAGTTTTTAGCACCGTTGCCGGGGATTGACAACGTGAAGTTAATTAGTTTTGCCAGAGCATTTTATTTTTGCTTCTTTATTTTTGAATTAATTTACTTGATATTTTACTTTATTCTTTTTCAGGCTTATTTGGTTTATGCCAATAAGACATTCAATGAGTTATTAGAACCGATTGAACCTGAGATTGAAAGACATTTTAGGCAAAGGAGACGTGCTTAATGTGCTCGAGAAAATATATATCAAATTGGGAACCAGGGCATTGGTCAAGATGACAGAAATCATAATGTCGAGTCATTCCAAAATGTTAGACATGCTGATAGGCCTTGTGCTATTTGTGATAATTTGAATCCTATACTGGATGATCTGAATCCTTGAATTGTAGCACCCAAAATTCAAGCAGCCCATTTTAAGCTCAAACCAGTCATGTTTAATATGCTGAACTCTATAGGGCAGTTTGGGGGCATACCAACTGAATATGCCAGGCAACATATTCACAACTTTTTGGAGGTTTGTGATTCTTCCAATAAGAAGTGCATGAGGATGTTAAAGTTATTTTCATACTCTTTGTGTGGCCGAGCGAGGGCTTGGTTGAGTGGTGTTACATCTGGTTCGATGAAATCATAGGCTGATCTTTGTAAAAGCTTCCTATTGCACTATAACCCGCCGAATATAAACACTAAGCTGAGAAATGATATATCATACTTTCACCAGGGCGATGATGAATCTATGTATGAATGTTGGGATCGTTACAAGAGTTTGCTTCAAAAATGTTCAAATCATGGTTTTCAAGACTGGACTCAAGTATTTATGTTTTATAATGGAGTCAAATGTACCCACGAGGATGATGTTTGAAGCCTTGGAAAATGGGACATTGCTGGATAAATCACCTACTGAGGCGTTTACTATTTTGGATAGAATTGCCAACAATGACTATCAATTCCCTTCCTCAAGGCTTGGAATTGAGAGAAAGGCACATGAGGCATTCGAGTTAGATACCAAGGACTCAGTGTCTGCTAAACTCTCAGCTATCACTAATATGCTGAAAATTTACAATGCTCCACCGAGGTAGAGGAAGTGAAAGAAGCCAGCTCGGCATGCATGCTATGCCAAGGCAATCATCACGAGAGCGAATTCCCTACCAATCATGAGTCTATCAACTTTGTAGGTAATTTTAATCGAGGTAATAATAAAAATTCATATTCTAACACTTATAATGCAGGATGACGTCAACACCCTAACTTCTTATGGGGTAATCAAGGAACCCATAATGCTAGTCAACCTAATTGTCAGCAGAATTACACTGAATCTCAAGGCTACCAAAACACTATGCCATTGCTTAATGCTAATAAGGGAACCTCATCTTCAGCGAGCATTAGTTCTTTGGAATCCATGATTCAAGATTTCATATCTACCACGAAGACAATGCTGCAAGACTATTCTACTTCAATTAAAAATCAAGGAGCTTCGGTTCAAAGTTAAGGCGTCTTACTTCAAAGCCATAACTCGTATCTGAGAGCTTTGGAAGGTCAAGTTGGTCAGATTACTACAACATTGCAAGAGTGTCAGAAAGGATGTATTCTAAGTGACATTAAAGTCACTAAATATCTTGGAAAATAACAATCAATGTATTGACTCTTAGGAGTGGAAAAAAGATTAATCAGCAAGACAAGGTTACGGGAACACAACATAATGATACTACCCCCACTGTTGAACAAGTTGAACCTGAATTAGATGAAGATATCATCACCGAGAAGGATAAGAGGAGGGTTCTACTAGTGAGCCTTCCAAAGCACTAAATTATGATGCAAAGGCAAAAACAATTCCGGCTCCCGCAGTTAAGGAAGTTAGACCCCCACCACCCTTTTCGCAAAGACTGAAGAAGCACAATGATAAAGTTTAGTTCAAAAAGTTCGTGGACATTCTTGATCAGCTCCATATTAATGTATCTTTTTTGGAAGCTATTAAACAAATGCCAAATTATGCCAAATTTCTTAAGGAAATTTGAACCAATAAAAGAAAAGTTGATAAGTATGAGACAGTTGCCATGAAAAAGAATATTGCTCTGTATTGAGTAAGTTGCCACCAAAACAAAATGATCCAGGTAATTTTAGTATTCCTTGTTCTATAAGAGCTAATTTCATTGGAAAGGCATTATGCGATCTTGGTTCAAGTGTGAACTTAATGTCATAACCTATATTCTTAAAGCTTGGTATAGGAGATGTGAGACCCACCTCGGTGATTTTACAACTTGTTGAATGATCCCATGTTAGACCTGAAGGGAGAGTCAAGGATGTCATAATAAGGGTGGATAAATTCGTGTTTCCAGTCGAATTCCTTATCCTTGACTATGAAGTTGATGCCAAGGTGCCAATCATTTTGGGGAGGCATTTCCTAGCCACTGGTCGTATTTTGATTGATTGTGAAAAAGGTGAACTCACCATGAGAGTTTCCAACCAATGCATGATTGTCAATGTTTTTTATACTTTCAATTATGTTGATGACCCTAACGAATGCCAAGGCATTTTTGAATCGAACTCATTAATTGAAGAAGAAACTGAAAAAATTTGTCAGTATACTTTCATTCAGTTAGTAGATAAAGAATGTTCGATTGATGATGAAACCATGGAGAAGCATGACAAATTACCAGCTGGGATGGAGAAATCTAGCTTACTACTAGCTAGATCAGGTATGAACTTTAAACCCCTGGATTTTGATGAATTTATACCTCCTTTGCCATCATTATTGCATGCACATACCCTAGAGCTTAATCATTTTCCAGGGCATCTTAAATATGTTTTTTGGGTAGTGATAATACTTTACCTGTGATTATTTCCTCTAACCTTACTACTAACCAAGAGCAAAGTTTGTTAAGTGTTTTGTCACAACATAAGAAAGTGCTTGGTTGGACTATGACTGATTTAAAGGAGATTAGTCCCATGATTTACATGCACAAGATCCTGCTAGAAGAATGTCATGGCAACTTGATAGAACCACAATGAAGACTCAACCCTATTATGAAGAAATTAGTGATGAAAGAAATACTTAAATGACTTGACACTGGAGTGATTTACCCCATATCTAATAGCTCATGGGTGAGCCCTGTCCAATGTGTGCCCAAGAAGGTGGCACGACTATGGTTACAAATCAAGATAATGAGCTATTACCCACGCTTACTTTCACTGGATGGAAGATATATATGGATTATCGTAACCTCAACAAAGCTACAAAGAATGACTATTTTCCTCTACCATTCATCTATTAAATGTTTGATCGATTGGCAGGCAAAGCATTTTACTGTTTCTTATATGGATATTCTAGGTACAAAATCAAATTGTCATTGCACCAGATGACCAGGAGAAGGCTACATTCACTTGTCCCTATGGTACTTTTGCCTTTAGGAGGATGCCTTTTGAACTCTGTAATGCCCTAAAAACTTTTCAGCATTGCATGCAAGCCATCTTTTCAATATGGTTGAGGACTTCCTTGAGATATTCATGGATGATTTCTCCATTTCTGGAGAGGACTTTGAACGATGCATCGACAATTTGGCAAAAGTTCTTAAAAGATGTGAGGAGGCTGATCTAGTTTTGAACTGTGAGAAATATCACTTCATAGTGACTGAATACATTGTATTAGGGCACAAGATATCTCATAAGGTCATTGAGGTGTATAAAGCTAAAATTGAAGTAATTAAAAAATTACCACCGTCTACCTCTGTCAAGGGCATAAGGAGTTTTCTTGGAAATGCTGGCTCCAAAATCTCTAAGCCCTTATGCACCTTGCTGTAACACAACTATCCTTTTGTGTTTGACGAGTTATGCCCAGACACATTCACTGAGTTGAAGCAATGATTTATCCCTGCGCCCTTTGTAGTTCCTCCCGACTGGACATCACCATTTAAGTTAATGTTTGATGCAAGCGATTATGCCATAGGAGCTGTGTTGGGGCAATGCCAAGGTAAGATTTTTCATGTTATATATTATGCTATCCACTGAGAAAGAATTCTTTGTCGTAGTATTTGCATTTGATAAATTTAGATCATACCTAATAGGAACGAAAGTTATTATTCACATTGATCATTTAACTATAAAATACTTAGTGAACAAAAAAGATGCTAAGCCTAGACTTATTAGGTGAATCTTACTTTTGCAAGAGGGTGTAGATAGAGAAGGTACTGAGAACCAAATTGCTGATCATTTATCTAGGCTAGAGAACAATTTTGAATGAAATGACACTGTATATATTTAAGACGAATTCCCTGATGAGAAAATATTATATGCCACAGCAATCACGTGGTACGCTGACCTAGTTAATTTTCTTGTTAGTGGTATACTGCCTTTTGAATTGAACAACTAGGGTAAGAAACGTTCAAGCATGATGCAAAGTACTACTTCTGGGATGAGTTATATTTATTCAAGCATTGTGTTGACCAACTTATTAGACGATGTGTACCTGAATAAGAATAATGAGACATTCTATACCATTGTCATACGACCCCAAGTGGAGGCCATTTTGGAGGAGCAAAAACCGTTGCCAAGGTTTTGCATTTAGGATTTTATTGGGCAACACAGTTCAAAGATACTCAAGCATTTTTGAAGTCCCGCGATCAATGCCAATGCACTGGAACATATCCATGCAGCATGGCCACTACAAGACATTTTGAAAATTGAGTTGTTTGAAATTTGGGGCAATGATTTCATGGGACTATTCTCATCTTCTTGTGGTGATTATAAATTTTGCTGGCCACGAATTACGTATCCAAGTGGGTGGAGGCCATTGCAACATCAACGCTTAAGTTTTTACAAAAAAATATCTTCACTCTATTTGGAGTACCTCAAGCCATCATTAGCGATGAGGGAACCTACTTTGATAAAAAGTTGATTGTCAAGACATTAAGAAGATATTGAGTCCGTCATAAGATTGCCTCGACATATCATCCACAGACGAATGGTCAAGTTGAAATATCCAACCGTGAGATTAAGCATATCTTAGAGAATGTGGTGAATCCAAGGTGGAATGATTGGTCACCAAAGTTAGATGAGGCACTTTGAGCATATAGAACAACTTTTAAAACTCTGGTATGTCACCCTTCAAGTAGGTGTATGTGAAGACTTGTTACCTCCTTGTCGAGCTAGAACATAAAGTGTATTGGGCCATTAAGAGGTTAAATTTCGATGCTCAATTAGTTGGAGAGCAAATATTGCTGGAACTCAATGAGAGGAAGAGTTTAGGACACAAGAATATAAGAATGCCAAGATATACAAGGAAAAGATTAAAAAGTGGCATGACCAAAAATTATTCCAAGACATTTTCATATTGGCCAACAAGTGTTACTTTACAATTCCAAACTTAAGCTCTTCCCTGGAAAGCTTAAATCTCGATGGTCAGGACCATTTAAAGTGCATGATGTTTATCCCCATGGTGCAGTTGTTATAAAAAATGTGGACGATGAGACGATCTTTAAAGTCAATGGTCAACACCTAAAAGTTTACAGCGAAGCTCCAATGTTGAGTGACAAGTCGGTGTTGTATTTGCACGACGTCTGAATGTGCCTGAACCATAAACAAAAATTCAATGCCACAATATTGAATTTTATTGATTGTGCTTAAATAACAAACTTATTTCTCTTTTATATTTATCTTTATCTTTAATTTTCATTTTCATTTTTATCTTTAGTTTTTATCTGGGGATAATACCAATTAGTTTTGTATTGTAAGGACCCACCAGTACTCAGGCTGTACGAAGAAGCAGTTGCCAAGGGAAGAAAAGACAAAACTTAAGGGGC